TGATGATGATGATGATGATGATGATGATGATGATGATGATGATGATGATGATGGTGATGATGATGGTGGTGGTGGTGATGATGATGATGCCTTTTTGTTTCCTAAATGGGCCTGGTGGAATCCACGGTGAAATCTTCGAGCGAGAGTGAGGCTCTTTTTCGGCTTCATTTTCATTTTACTCAGAGGCACCTCCACTCGTCCAAATAACTCCATTGTAATTTCTATTGTTCCTGGACATTCAAACATATGTTTGACATAATCATTTTCATGGTTGCATCTCCGGCAACGTGGGTTGAGCTCTTCATTTACAAAGTTCTGATACCATCTCATGCTCCAATGAAGGTCCGATCACAGCCTCACTAGCTCAACCTGGTCACAGTGACATGTGATAAACTGTTCCTACTTATTGAAGTACTCAGAATACACATCCTCCGGGTGGTGGTACTCAGCTCTGCACGGTGGGCTTCTGATTCCCCTCTTGATCTCTGGAACAACTCCTCTGTGTCATCTGTCTCCTTCAATCTCCCTGGCTTCATTGGCAGCTTGGTCTGCTACCTCATTTCCTTCGATTCCAACATGGCTTGGAATCCACTGGATCTTTATTGTGGCTGTGCTTTCACTGAACTTGCGGCGCAAATCCTTTATAACTGATCTGTTGCCTAGCAGTCCTTTGCAGAAGGACTGACTGTCAGTAAAGATCAGCACATTGGTTTTACTTTGTCAACAATCCATTGCGCAGCAGACAGCATTGCCTGGCATTCCTCATCATAAGATGATGTGAGGAATACACTTTAAGTTCTAATGATTTCTGTTCGTGACGATTCATTATTCATTATCACTACTGCTGCTGCTCCACCTTTGCGGCATCCTGTGACAGCCGATCCATCAGTGAAAATTGTCACATCGGCTCCAACCTCCTTGATTACATCCTCTGCAGCTTCGCCTGTCTTTACAGGGTCGTCATCTTTGCTCTTCACTCTTCTCAATTCTGTAAGGATTTCGGTTTAGCCCTTTGTCTCAAATGGACAAGCACTCACCAGATTGATTAGCCATCGATTCTCTGCTTCAGGGTGGGGGGAGGGGGAGTGTGATCTGCTAGGTCGGTGCCCATCCAATGTGGTGTAGTGCTCAGTTCTGGTCTCATAGCGCAGTGCTTCTGTAGGTGTTGTTTTCAGGTGACCTGGTGCAAGACGGAGGGCTTTGTTTTGTATTCTGTCCAGGGCCTTTGCACTGGTCTCACTCAGCCAAGGTTGCCATACTGGGGCAACATAATTCATCTTGCTTTTCACAAACATTTGATATACCTTCTTCACCGACACCTTACCTCACCCCCATGATGATGATGATGATGATGATGATGATGATGATGATGATGATGATGATGATGTTTTACAAATGGAAGGAAAAACTAGAGTTCAAAAAACCATAAACTCAGACCAGCATCAAAGTGAAACATAGATCTAAATATCTGGATTCAGGAAAAGACGACAGCGGCATGCAAGACTTTTGTTCATAATATTTCGTACTATTTAAAAATTGTGTGACATTTTCAGCCCCCCC